TCTTAAACTCCTGAACTCGAACAATCCTCGGCCTCCCAGAGTGCCAGGATTACAGGCATGAGCCACCACGCCTGGCCTTCCCTCATTCTTTACTGTAATGACCAAGAGAATTCTTTCATTGGCCATGAGTATAACAAATTTTTAAAAATATTTTTATAATTGAAGTAGAGCATGCATTACAGAAAAGCACAATAATAATAAGTATGTGATTTTGGTGAATTTTTACAAAGTGAACTCAACGTGGTATGTACCTCAGAGGTTGCCTTGTGGGGGCCACCCCCATCCCTGTAACTTGTGACATCAAAGATTAATTTGTTGATGACCACTCTGAAGCATTCACAGTGCAGTTTGTCGGATCATGCAGAGCAACAAAGCAAATCCTGGCAGACTGCCTAGACTGACCCAACTTTTCTCCATTAGTCTATCCTTATCCCCCACCTTAGTAGTCATCACTTTTGTCTCCATCTCTCTAGTCCGGAATTTGCAGAGACAGGAGAGAAATGGCAGGATAAAGGAGACTGATGTTCCAGGTGTTCCCAGGATTCAGCACAGAAAGGACATGATTGAAAAGTATTATTAACTGATAACTATTTGTTATGTTTTTGAATCTCATTCCAGGACAATCATATATCTTGACCGGGAAAAACGGATTTTTACTGAAGCAAATTTGGTTTCTGTTGGTGGCAAGCTAAGAAACAGTGTTTTGAGAATGTCCTTGGAATTCCATAAAGGTGAGAGCACGTATCTTCTCTATTCCTTAATTATACATTTGATTGCATAATGTTGCTAATGTTGAGAGATACATTCAGCAGCTGCTGTTTATTGATTACTTTTGATTTGCTGGCCTGATTTTAGTCATGTCCCCTTATTGAATAGTAATAACTAACATTTACTGAGCACTTTGTGTCAGGTGCTTAGCTAAATGGTTCGTACATGTCCTTAATCTCATTTACTTTTTATAGCATCCTTGTGAAGTAGGTCCCTATGTCATGAATGAGGAAAGGTCATACAGAGGTCGTGTAATAGACTTTGGAGACTCAGAAGCGGGGAGGGTGGTGAGGAATCAAAAATAACCTCTTGGGTACAATGTGTATTATTTGGGTGATGGGAACACTAAAAATGCCTATTTCACCAGTGTACAATTCCTCCATGTAACAAAAAAACCACTTGTACCCCCTAAATCTATCGAAATAAAAAAATTATAAAATTGTAAAAAGAAAAAGAAAAAAATTTTTTTAAACCGAATGAGGAAAAGGAGAGAGTGCTCAAGGTCGCATCTCTAGCAAGTAGCAGAGCCAGAACCTGAAAACTAGGTCTGTTGGCTCAAAAAATACATATTCAAAAGTACCTATTATAGGAGGGAGCATTTCTTTCTACATTCTTTATTTTGTTTAATTAAAAAGGTAGTTGTATTTGTTAGCAAAAATTCAAACTATACAAGGAGAAAAGTTGAAAAAGTTCATCCTTACAGTAACTACTGTTAGTAGTAGTTTCTTTTGTATCTTTTTGTCTTTGTGTTAACTGTGCATCCAAACATATATAGTTTTTGTTTCATACTTAAACTCTTGAATAAAAATACGAATTTTTGCTCTCTAATTTGCATTTTTCATTAAGACATTTTTTACATCTATATGTATAGATGTCTCATTTGCCAAGTTTTATAATACAGGTCGAGCATCCCTAATCTGAAAATTACAAGTCTGAAATGCTTTAAAATCTGAAGCTTTTGAATGCTGACATGATGCCACAAGTAGAAAATTTTACACCTGACATCATGTGATGAGTCATGGTCAAAATGCAGTCAAAACTTAGTTTCCTGTGCAAAACTGTTAAAAGTACTTTATAAAATTACTTTTGGGCTATGTGTTTAAAGGTATATATGAAGCATAAAAGAATTTCATATTTAGACATAGGTCCCATCCCGAAGGTATCTTATTATGTCTATGCAAAGATTCCAAAATCTGAAAAAAAAAAACAAAAAAAACCCCACGAAATTCAAAAGACTGTAGATCCCGAACATTTCACAATAAGGGACACTCAACCTATAGTAGGCAAACAAATTGCTTTTGATTTGGGCCTTTCAAAATTGACCTTTGTACTGGGGATAACATTAAGTTCTAGATTACAGTTGATTTTGAAAATGTTCAGATATTAATTTAAATCTGACAGAATGTCCTTTATTTATGTCAACTCTAAGATCCAGAGATCTATCACAGCCTGCCCCACGAAATTGTGGTCAATCTTGCTGCTTTTTTTGAACTTTGTGATGCACTAATCCTGCGCTGGGTACAGTCCTCCCAGGGGACAGTGTCTGATGCCATTGTGAATGAGGTGAGGAAATGTACTTGTTTTTATTTTAAACAAGATTTGTCTTGCTTGGCACAAAGATTCTTAGTGATAAGACTAACTTCAGTGTTATAATATGGCCAGTATTATTCGAGAAATGTAAATGTTCTTAACAGTTTTAAATATACACACATATTTAAAACCTTCGTGGAGGTATAACTGACGTATAAACCATATATATTTAAAGTATACAATATAAGTTTTGACATGTATATACCTATGAAACCATTGTCACAATCAAGATAGTGAACATAACCATCACCCCCAAAAGTTTTACCTCATTCCTTTTTTGTTTTACCTTTTTCTCTCCTCCCATCCCTAACCAAGTAGCTGTTGATCTGTTGATCCTTTACTGTAGGTCAGTTTTATTTTCCACAAATGGAATTATGCAGTATATACTTTTTTGTCTACTTTCACTTAGCATGGTTATTTTGTGACACATCCATGTAGTTTAAAGTATCAGTAGTTAATTTCTTTTTATTGCTGAGGAATATTCTGTTGTATGGATCTGCTACAGTTTGTCTATCCATTGTCTATCCGTCCTGTTGATGGACATTTGGATTTTAATTGTTATGTTTTAATTTACTTGTGTGCTTTTAGACATCATTGTCATATGTGGGTTATGTGAAGTTTTGAATCTAAATTATTCTAGTAAGTGTACTAAAATAGTGTAGCTGATCTCAAAGTTTTTGATCTCAGGGCCTCTTTATAATCTTACAAGTTATCAAAGATCCAAAAAGCTTTTGTTTATGTGGTTAT